CCATTCCACCACACAAGTTCAGTTGGGACCCTGATTGGACGTCCCTTGGGTAGTTCCTTCTCTACCGCAGTCGCGGGTTGCACAGTCCATTTGGAATACTGAATTCACTTAGGATCCGGCTAGTTTGACGCACTCTTGCCTGCTTTCTAAATTTATTCTCGGATGAGAATACCCACCAGGTAGGTCAGGAGGGAACGTAAAGACCCTACTGTGTTCCATGATGGAATGGTAGGCTTAGACTCATTACTTGAGGTTGGAGATTTACCTGCAAGGCCACATTGCCTGGTAACCTGGCACGATCAGTGGGGCCACCGTCCACAATAAGAGTCGAGACCTGGTGGCAGTTTCTTTTCACAGCCCTAAGTCCGCAAATGACCTTCGACAGTTTACACCTACAGGAAAATGGCTAATAGGTCAGCTTAGCAACTCCTGGACTGGCTGCTAGGAAACCGGTCGCAACCCCAGGTACAATGGATCTACAAGCGGATAGTGTTTTCCCGCATTTAAGTGCCTCGACAGCTGGCATCTTCATCGATCCGTATTCTGTCACTTCTCGCAGTTGGAAGGTCATTTTAGGATGGCTCTAGTAACTTCCAGATTAGGTACCAGCGAAACAATCATCGTTGGATTTGTTGGCTGAGCGTTAAAACAGCAAATACAAAGCCTCCTATCATGTTATAAAATTGTAGATTATGCTACCTTTAGTGTACCTATAATCTTAATTTTATTAATGACAGGAGGCGAGTATTTCCCACCCGTTCTTATCCCTCCCTTGTTTTAATTTAATAGTTGGATTAATCAGGTACGTATACAACTCTGCTTGTTGTCTCTGCTACCTATCACCTGAAAGAGGAAATGATGCAATGGGAAGGGAGTTTTATAATACCTAACTTTTTTCTGATTGGTTGTTTTCTGTGCTGCTGTGGAGTTCTAGTAAAGAGAAACTTAAGCAAATACTCGCCTCCTGTCATTAATAAAATTATTATAGGTACACTAAAGCTAGCATAATCTACAATTTTACGCGCTCTCATTTACTGCTCCTATACAAATTTATATATTGTTTTTTCAGGACAAAAAAGGCTTTCTTTACATACCATTATTTATATAATCTCATGTAATTTAATT